GAGACGAAAGAGATAATTTGAGGGTGAATGCTTGGATAAGAGGCGGAAAGAAAAATGGATTTTTTGTAAGGCCAAGGCTATTCATGCCGTATTATGAAGAAATCAAGGTAATAATAATAATAATAATAATAATAATAATAATAATAATAATAATACATAATTTTCAAAGTCAGAAACACATTGATTAATGGAATATACTAATGAGTACTATATTTATTCGATATTAGTCTTTGGTGGAAGAACAAATGATTCAAGAAGCAGATCTAGTGAGATTACGAAGGCCACGATACGTAGCAGATATACCGGATGCGCTATACATGGTTGAGGAGAAACCAAGAGCCATGGGAACTGCTGGCGTTGATGTCCTTGCAGCTGCATTTCCAGGTATTACAACATTAAATTATTAGTTTCAACTTAAAACTTAATTTTTTTGTGTATTAGTTATTGTTATTATATATACAATTTGACATAAAAACATAGATTACTTTGTAATAAGAAAGTGAGAGTGCTTGAATAATATTTTTAATAATAATTGAGAAGTTGATAACAGAAAATCACACATAGATAGGTTTAACTGATAATAATTGATACAGGATAAAAGATTCTTTATCTATATTATAGTACCAGACTCTGCAACAATGGCTGCAATGCTGAAACGAGAGCAGAAATTGAAACAATCACCCAGTTGTCAACGAGCGATAAGTTTGCCGCTTTCTTCGCGACACGAAATTAATCGGCAAGTGCGATTGCGCGTTGTCAGGGAATTTAATTTACCCGACACTGTGGCTGATCTTCTGGAAGTAAGTCTTTCTATGTTACTTCTATGTTAGTTTATAATAATTCATAGCAATAACAGTAATAGTAATAAAATGTATAATAACATCGCATCTGCGTTGGATAAATTGGGAGCAGGAAAAATCAATACGAAAACAAATGAATATACGAAAAGATAAAAAATTTCGGAAACGATTAAACTATAATTATATAATGCGTTTTTTTATTAATTTCAAATTCTATGTGGTTTTTTTTCTATAACTGAACTAATACACATTTTTGAAACTTACAATGAAATAGATATATTCGATATTTGTTGAGAGCGAAATAGAAAATTCAAATATAGTTTAGTGCGAGAATAAAAAATAGACCAATGATTATCGCGAACGATTGTCATAAAATGCTAGAAACGTCAGCATAATATTCTAAATATCTTCAAGATTTAAATACATCAATTTAAATACATTCGCGTACAAAATTAAAAATAAGTATATTTATTCTACACATAATTATTTTGTGATTGAATAAATTATAAATAAAGATAGATAATGACTGCTTTAGTGTATTGTTTATTCTAAATTTTATTAATAGTAATGTATATTCTCATAAAATATTGCTTCATAATTTACAATATTTATACAAACATTATTAATTTCTCAATTTTATTTCCTGAATGTGATACATATGGAATTTATTATTATCAAAAATATAAAGATTTTTAAACACGACAAATATATAATGTTTTCATTGGTAATGTTTTTATTTTATAAAATTAAATTGAGGCTACAAGCCTTACATACGTACTATTTACACTAAAAAGACTACTTGTTTACGATACATCTTTAAAAATATGATTTATAAATATTAAAAAATATTCGCATTTTTAGTGTCGACAGATATATGCATTGTTTGTGTTAATATTTCTATCATCAAATTAGTCTTAGCAGTTGACTTAGTTAATTGTTCTTTATTAGCTTTGGTCCTTATTATAATATTACCTAATATTACTTGATTTATCTTATCACATCTAATATTGTCTGAAACTTTTGTCACATATTTATATAAATTTTATCGCTTCTACGTTTGCTAACTGTCATTTATTTTCTGTCTTAATATTTTCTATATAGTAAGATGACTGACTTCTTAGGAAGGACATTTAAAAAGATTCAATTTTAAATTAATCTTTAAAAAAATTATTAATTGTCATAAATTTTAATAAACACTTTTAATAATTATTAATAAAATATACGAACAATATTATATTATTATATTTGTAAATAACACTATATAAACATCAACTAAGATCATAAAAATTAATCAAATTATGAGATTTATTAAATTGTTGATTTTTTAAAATCTTTGCTGCTGAATTTTATAAAAATCATAAAATTCTTTACATTAATTGAAAATTATGTTTCATATTTATTATTTTTACTTTTATTATTATTCTCAAAGAAAGACAATTCATAATCATGTTCTTAATTTGGGACAATGCATTATAAAGTGATACGAAGAGTTAAATTTTGAGATTGTGTCACCTAATTTTGGACGTTTGTTCATCTTACTATACAATAATTATTTATTTTATATCAAGAAATAGAAAGACTTTCTAAAGGATTAATTTACTATGGATAGAAGTTTACGTCTAATCATTTTACAAGCCATCCCTTTCGATCGAACATATATAAGACGTGTAACATTTTTTGTTTGTAATTATCGTCATCGATCCCACCTGCAAAAACGCTTTCGTCCGCATCTTCGGCCGCCGTTTGTGAAACGGAGCCACGCGCTGCTTGTATTACTTGCACCATCATGATGCACTGGTTAAATTTGATGGGTGCACATTGATTCAATTGCTCTATAAATTGGCTCTTGGGAAATGCGTTTGTGTCTACATTTAACGATTTTAAACTCTCGATGAAAGAATCGTAATAAAAATCAATCATATTGTCAAGATAATTATTGAGTACCTCCTTCTGGGAACTTGATATGAGGAAAAATATGAGATCGTTTACACCGTAGTCATAAACTGTCAATTGGAAGTCCACAATTTTCATATTGATCGGCTTATCTGATTCATCGTATTTGAACATCATGTTATTTACCCAAAAATCGTTATGCACTAGTGTCGCCCACGGTTCTTTCGGCGTTACAGTTTGTGTAAATCCATATTCGATTGTTTTCTCGATTCTATCTAGATAAGCTTTCGCTTCTTCCATATTTTTATAATCATTATGCGCCTTCTGTACCATATCTACCGTCGCTTTTTCCGTAACTTCTTGTAAGTTGAATTCTAGACAAGATAGTACCGTTTTTTTGAAGAATTCGGATTTCTTGAGCTTCAGGCCGATTGCTATGGCGTGTAACTTGGCTAAATGGTTGATCGCAAAGTTCATGTGCACTTTATCTAGACCTACAATTCGATCTTGCGTTATATAATTGTAACTCTTTAGATTTTCTAAAACGATAGCGGCCTGTTCATCGAAACACTGCGGATCTCGTAAACCTAATCTACCGCCTAAAAATTGCGGTACGATGACGCTTAGGGATTCCCGAGGGATTCCGCTTTCATTTTGCAACTTCAAAAATTCTGGTGCTACCATGCTATAAAATTCCAGTTCTTTCTTGAATGTTAATGGACTGTCAAACAACTCTAGCAAATATGCCGACCTCGGCGGTAGTTTAACAACCACGTTTAGAGTTCTCTTCTTATCATTGTGCTCGGCATTGATATTGACAGCCAATATTATACTACCAAAGTTTTCTCCCGGATCTGTTAAATGTTTCCATTCCACATCGTGTATTCGAAAATCGGGGCCATATGTTTGCATTAACAATGTGTCTATATTTTTAACAGGGAGCATGTCGAGCGTTTTCCTAACAGAAAAAGATTTCATATTAAAGAGAGTTATTATTTCAGAGAACAAAATTTTGTACTATGTCATTATAATTATATGTATTAAATGAAATTCATGCAAATATAAAAATGAAGCTGATGTAAGCCGACAAGATATGCGTGTGTAAAATTATTTATTACAATAAAGTAGACGGTTTAACTCTAATTTTGCATCAGCTTATCTTATAGCTGACGAATAAACAACAAAGTAAAGCATTACATTTAAATTGATAAAGTAAGTTCGTAAAGTGTGTCCAAGAATTTTCGAATGTCTTAATATCTAATAAGATACTTAATTCGTGAGTTAAGAATAAAATTGAATGATTAAAGATGAGCTGTCGAATAATGCGTAACAGTTTACACAAGTTTTCGATTACATTTGAGATTAAATCAGTTAACGTACATTGTACGTATTTGCTACGTGGAATTTCTTGGAAACTGAGGTTAAGTCTTCTTTTATGTAGATTGGATGTTGTTTAGTCACCAATATCATGTATCTCGAGGTTCTGTAAAATAAATTTCTTTTAAACTAAAACTAGAAATAATTAAGATGTATAACACATATTATTTATTTTAGTAAACTTTGAATTTTTCCATTAAATTTTTAATTTTTAATACTCTTTAATTATACACTACTTGAATTTATTTAAATGTTTTTATGTAATTAAAAGGTACAAAATGTAAGTAAATTATAGCTATAAATTTTAGGATTGATAGATAAAAAAAAAGATATTAACATGTATCCGGAGAAATTGGATATTTAATCGTTTTATTTAATAGTTTAATAGGCTTAATTAAATTTAATCTATCGTAAATATATATAGAATTATTATCTCTCGTTAATTTGTAGAACTGATATCCACAGCACACATTAACAGTTATTAGATAATTTTGGGAAAGGGACACATGTTTTGAATTATAGATTATTATGGATTTCAATTTATTCAAAATGTAAACTGAAGTAATACAATAGCTATTCCAATCCGATTTCGATGTTGTACTGTGGACTTGTATCAAAAGAAATTCTCAATATATCAAATTTGATTTTGAGATCATAATTTAATAATGATCATAAATAAATTCTCTTTCCAAGTTTCATATGCGATATTTTATATAACTTTCTCTTTTTACATAATTTCTTCTCATTTTTAATAAGAAAATCGCAGAATTATTGAAAAAACAATTTATTGAAAAACAAATTTTTTAAATAATTATCCGTAATTTTGAGCATTTGTTGAGAAACATGATTCTATGAAAAATTATTAATTTTTTTTTTTTACAAATTGAGAAATCGAACATCCTTAGAACAATTATAAGTTTTTTTAAATGTATGATTATATATTAAATGTTTGAAATGTTTGATAACATTTTTTAATATATTTTTCCAAATTCTATTGATCCTAAAGTAATTGTATAATTTACTTACAGTTTTATAAAGCTAAAAATGTTATTGTGCACGCATAGATATCTTCGTAGCACACTGAGAAAAAAATATAGTTAATTTTAATAAATATTTAGTGCATTACTGCCAACTAAATATTTACTTACAGTAAGTAAATATTTGTTTAATAAAAAAAAAAGATTGTTAAATTAAATTAACATTTCTTGTATCAAATAAATATATCTTTATATTTAATAAATATTTAGTTAGCAGTTCAATTAAATATTTATTAAAATTGGCTATACCTTTCTTCAATGCACTAATCTCATTTAGAAAAGATTATCGTCACTTTATCGTTATTTTCTTCAACGTATTTGTAACTTCCTAACGTTCACTCGCGTGTATGTTCTAGCATTAACTGTCATTATGTTTGTAGTGTCGTTACTTTATAGTAAGGAGAGAACTTGTTGGTGGGCTCCTCGCTGACTATGATTCGTTCATGCAAATTCAATTCGTATTAGATAAACTAATCGTTTTCCTTATCTCATTCGTAATGTATAAAATGCATTTCAAAATATAATAGTATCAGGGAAAATTCTAATCATAATAGTTTGATTTCTGTTACGAATAAATGACGTGGCGGTCAATGTATGTATAATCAGTGTGAGTCCAGAAAGCGGGACATCGTTATTTTGCACTTACATGGATGCAAGTGAGTCGACAGAAACTCAGTTGAGCCTTTCTGGCTAGATCAATCGACTATCGTGGCCGAAGAGCATACAACCTATTTATAGTGCACTCGTGACACAAGAAACTTTGAGTGTTAAGATAAATGTTGCAGAAATGATGTCAGCGAGTTCATTTCTGATTATCCTTAAAGTTACATAAACTTTTTTAGAAATAGCAATTGCAACTTTGTTAATGTCAGCTGCCAGCTCATACCACTGCAATTCGCTTATGGTTCGCGCTATTTATCGCATAGATAACGCACGGCTTTTACGTTTTTGTTTTACACTGTTTAGAGTGAACGTCAAAAGACAATGGTCTATGACTTTTATGGTTCATCATATTGAGACATTCAATTAACTCGATATAATTATTCGACTTCGTAACTGCGACGACTGTTACGAATATGAGCCAACATTACGTAACGTTTTATTTCTATATAATAGCACAAATTTATTTTCGGAAATTGTTACGAATAAAGATCTCTATTTATCTCAATTGTATGAATTTGTGTGTTCAGTATAAAAAAATGTTATAATATTATATTTTTTTATTCTAAACTTTTTTTTAAAATATTGCAATATATATATA